ATCTTTGCTCCCTGAGCGGCTAGGATTACAGACATGAGCCACCATTGCCCGGCCCAACACCTTTCTAAGGGCAGAAATTTTGTCCTTGAAGTCAAATACAGTACTCCCCCCTTTATCTGCAGCATAGCCCTTTGCCTCTGTGAATCATGTGATGGAAACTTTTGGAGGTGGGGCCTATTTGGAGGAAGTAGGTCCTTGGTGGTGTGCCCTTGGGGACTACTGCTTATGTCAGGTCTCTGTCACCCCTTTCTGCTTCTCGGTCATGAGGTGAGAAACTTTGCTCTTTCTGCTTTTCTGCCTCACCATGGCCCAGAAACAACAGAGCTACTGACTAAATAAAAAATTTCCTCCTTTTAAATTGTTTCTTTCAGGTATTTGTCACAGCCTTGTAAAATTGCCTAGCACATGCTCCAAAACCACAAGTTCTGCATCCTTGGATCCAACCAACTGTGGATTAAAACCATTTGAAAAACATTATATCAGAACTGAACAGGTACAGGCTTTTCTTGTCATTGTTCCCTAAACAAAACTGAAACAACTATTGAGACAGCATTGACATTGAATAAGGTATAATTAATCTAGAGAGTCATTGGTTCAAAGAGGCTGGAAATCTCTAGCATTGGCAATAAATGAGCACTTGAAAAGCACTGATCATAGCACCACAAGGAATAATTCTCTGAGCATAAATGTTCTGGAAATGATTTGGGAACTCAGATTACTTGAGATAGGAAGGGATGAGGTGTATTTAAGACTTGCTGTAGAGAATTTAAGTAAGTGAATTTTAAATCTGTAATGGAGTGCAGAAATAGAACCGTTTTTTAAACCTTATAATCTCAAAGCTTAAAAAGATAGGGAAAAGATTTGTTACAAGGAATTCTTCATAATTGACATGGTTTCTAGTGGCCATGGGGCTTGCTCAGAAGAATTTTCTGTATTCCTTTGGCGCTAATGAAACTGGGGAAATAATTTCTTATTTGACAGTCAAGGACATAAACTCTGAGCTTCTCAGTAAAGTTACTTGACCACTGGCACAAGTATGACATGGACAGATTGGTCATTTTCAGCTTTGGCTGCAATTATTGTGTGGTGAGTGAGCTTAGGACCAACCAACCCATTCATCAACTAACTACATAAGCAAACGAACAAAAGAACTACAACAACAGGCACAAAATAAGGGTATCCTGATCCATTTTTGGAGACTCTGATGCAATCAGTCTGGGATATAAGACCACATATCTGCATTTTCTGGTTTTTTTCAGTCTTACTGTTGCCCAGGCTAAACCTTGAATTTATGATCCTCCTGCCTCAGTCTCTGGAGTGGCTGGGACTACAGGTGCACACCACCAGGCCCTGCCCAACATCTAGCTTAAAAAACTCTATGTGGTCCTTATGGCCAGAAGCACTGGATAGGACTTGTCTTCAGGAGTTCTGACCCATGTCCTCAATACTCTACTTTTTATGTCACTGCTAATAAAAATATTTTACCCAGCAATATGTAGATGTCTATGCTTAAAGCTGAAATTCTTCATCATGGCTAACGTGACCTGGGCTTGCTTGGTCACTGACTACTCATTGTAAAGAGCACTTTTAACAGGTGTTTGTGAGACAGTTGTGTGTGCCCTGAGACCAAGCAGGGGAATGGTGTTCTTCTATACATTAATGGTTAAGATTTTCAACACATAAATGGAAAATGTTACTATTCTAGAATGTGCAGTTTGTGAAATCAAGTTTGCACACTGAAGGTGAAATATTTTGACATGACTAAGACTCCCATTTTGGAATAGTATATAAGCCTAAAGTTCTGTATCAAATAAATTATTGCTGGAGAATTATACAGCTACTGTTACCTTTCTTTCACCTGTGCTAAAATGTGAAGGTTTGCAGTAAGTCACAGCAAGTGTGAATGAAGTGGTTCCCCACATCAGACAACAGAAAAAGAGGGCCTCTAGGGTATGACTTGTTACTGGTCCTTTTGAACAGTGCTGGTAAGTCAATGTATACTGACAATGGCAGGAAAAGGGATTTTTCTGGAAAGGGAGCCACTGGGGAAGTAACCACCCAGGGAGGTGGGTGTGGGGATTAGATTCCCATGGCACTGTAGCCAGCAGAAAGGATACAGATTAACTCCACCTCTTCATTGTATGATGTAAACTTAGGGGTAACACCAAGGAAGGGTTTAAACTCAGATTAACAAATTCTCTTGATATTCTACCATGTTGTATTCTCTCATCTCCCAATTCACTTCTAAAAGTGTCTATCTATACACACATATATAAAAAATATGCATATATTTCTTATTCTCCTTTTAAGACTTGTAATAATTGAAATTGGTTAAATTATTCCACACAGGTTCAACTAATAACATAATGTAATAAAATCATCTGTAGCCAGCCTTGATGACAATGCCTGAAGGAAAAAAAAAAGAGCTCTAGACTAATGATATGCCTGGCCTTAGATGTGACATCATATCTTCCTTGGTAAGTATATAGTGACACATGTGCCACATATACACTTCCACCAAATTTCTTGGTGTGGTCTCCTTCATGCTCACCTACAGAGGAGAAAATGAAGATCCAGAAAGGTACCTCAGTCCGGTATTGGTCCAGGGCCAGTTCCCATTGCCACGTGCTGACTGAGAGCTCTGTAGCACCTCCTGGCTAGGTCTGGCAGAGGATAAACTGATTGGTTTGGATTTGTTGGTGGATGACTAGAAGCCTCAATTGCACCTAATGCACCCAGCCTGGAGTTGCAGAAGGGGAGGATGGATTCTAAGGGAAACTGAAAACTGCTAAGGGTGTTGCTATTAAGTGAACTGACAGGCACAACCAGTACGTCTTTGAAGAGGATTTCTTTCACATTAAAGACGGAAGGCACTGGTTAGAAGAGTGGTGACTACCCAGGTTTAATTCCTGGCTTAGTAACTTAGGAGCTATGTAACACAGGGCAGTCATTTCACTTCTCTAAATTTCATTCTCTTATCTGTTAAGTGGGAAGGCAACGGTATTTTACAGAACTGGTGTTAGAGCTAAATGAAAAAGAGGATTCTACATGTTCAATGAGCTGTTACTGATGAAAAACATTGAGTCTTATTACAGGATATAATATTCAGAATTATATGAAATATCCCTATATTTTAAAATTGAGTAGTTTGCCTTATCACTTAAGGGTCAGCAAAACATTTCAGTTCCAAGTGTATTATTAACAAATTGTTGAAAAGGTATGGTGCCATCCTCAAAATTACTGCACATACCAAGGAAAAATTTCTAAGATGTCAGTCCTCTTTACCATTCTCTCCCACCTCCAAAACCACATTAGTAATAATAAAAAACTAATCAAAATTGCAAATACTATATTCCCTATTTTTAAGACAGCCAGAAAAAATGTTGTATGTACACGTATTTTAAAATATGCCCAAGTATTTTGTTTTCTTGGTCTTTTGTAAAAGCTTATTTAGAGCTATATCATAATGACTTTAAGTTACTGAGAAAGTGGGTACTGTTTTTTTTTTTTTTTTGCAGTACTAGGGTTTGAAATTAGGGCCTACACCTTAGGCCACCCCAATCATCCCTTTTTTTTGTGATGGGTTTTTTCGAGATAGGGTCTTGTGAACTATTTGCCTTGAACTGGCTTCCAACCGCGATTCTCCTGATCTGTCTCCTGAGTAGTTACCATTACAGGTGTGAGCCATTGGTGCCTGGCTGGTACTCTCTTTTGGAAGGCAGGAAAATGCAGTTTATGGTTTTTAAAAATCTGTATTGAATTAAAGGATACCCTACGCACATGAGTTACTACTTTGTTAATTCAAATAAACAAGCAAACAGAAAGGTTCTTCAATCCCCACTACTCTCCAAAGGAACACATTTTCCCAGTATTCTAAAAGCTCCAAGTGCTGATATTAGCTTCCTCAAAAAATCAAGAGATAATTCCAACATATGATCAGAGCAGAAATAAACTATCCTTGAGTTTAATAAGATGAAAACAAGTATCTGTCACTTCAAGTTTCTGAGAAGCAATGGAAAAAACGTGTATACAAGTATCTGAAATGCCACCCATGAAATAGTTACAACCATGAGAAATAAGGAGGGCTTATTTTTTCTATTTTACTTCAAAAGAAACAAATAATCATCAGTCTTTGATAAGTTCTGGATTTGCCACCACCTCCAGAAACTGTACAAATAGATATTTTGCTTTACTTATTTATAACATACATATATATGTATGTATTTCATATAAGGCAAACTTACTTCATGCTTTACTTCAGGAAAATGGAGGAAAAGCTTTCTCTGAAATTGGCACTAAAGTTGTTTTAAGCAAGAAGATACATCCAACTATAGGCAGAATGAACAGTCATAATACATATCAAATCAAAATTATTTCCTTTATATAATCAGCAATGAGTAACTCCAGAGGTAGTATGGCAGAATTGAGCATGGATCCTATCTGGTCATACCACTGAAGAAATTACTTTTCTTCCTGTGGTTTTGACCATAAATTTCTTTACATTTAGGACCTGAATAAAAAACACTCTCAGCAGAAGTCTTGACCCATTATTTCAACTGACATATCAGTTTACAACTTTCAGGACTGCAGATATAAAAAATGTAAAGTATAAAATTATGTTAAGTTTGAAATGGTTTTAATTGTATTCATTAAAAATATTTACATTTCCCAGTACTTACTTGACAAAACCCCCTTGCAATATAATTCTACTCTAAATTTTTATTTATAAAATGAGGCTTATTTACAAGATTCCAATGACTGCTATACTACAAATGACTTACATTCTGTCAAATATTTTAAGAACTTTTCATATCAAAGGTAGTTTATATTGGATTATCTGAAACCCAATAGTGCCCACAGATGAGCTTCTTACAATTCTTTTCATTAATGCTTGGAAAGCATTGTGAACATGAAAAGTGCTGTTAAGTGCTATCATCTCCCTTAAATTTTCACTTACACTGTGTGCACATTGTGAAATAAACACATATGCAGCATGTCCATGTTTTGATATGTATTTTTTATTTCCCTGCAGTTTTCACTTATCAAGAACAAGTAACAGGGAAAGGTGTCTGAACTAGTGCATAAACAAACATTCTGAAACACCACTACACGTATCTAATTTACAAGAACCGTATAAAAAAAGTCACTAAAACACTACACTATGAAGGTGTCCAACACTTACAGTCAGACTTTTTCCAACCCGTTACTTGCCTTGTAGCCACAGGAAAACTCTCCAAAATTGAAAAGACAATCTTGCCACAACCCTCCCCCCCAACACCTGGGATGGCTCGATATCTAGACTTCCAATAATTATTGCAATGATATAATGCAATACATACCTGGTAAATATCTTTTATGTGGTGTGTTACAGTTTTAAAGCCAGTTAAAATATGCAGTCTTCAGATAAAATGTAATCCTTGAAAAATTTTCATATCTGCACAGTTTAAGTGTGCTAGATGCATAATTTTTCCTACTCCATTTTTCTGTGTAATTATTTTTTATAAACTGGTATTATAAATAGAAATATACATTCAAAATATATGGAAAAGTGAGTTACTCCATTAAATTTGCATGTATCGATCCATCCCTTTCCCCTGCACGGTAATAGAAAATACTATTTTGCCTTCAACTTCATATCTGACAGTGAAATGCCACGAAAGTATTTACCAAAAAGCCCATCTAGTCAAACTGTGAAACAAAATGAACCAGGTGAAAACTTTACAGTTCTTTTAGAAAAAAATTACAAGAATTTCATTTCCTAGCTATGAATCTTTAACTTTTAGACACAAAGTTGGATTTATTTTTTACAAGATACAAAATGTAAACATGGCAAAATAAATAGTTAAAACAAGTGATGCAGGATCCCATTTCATGCTCATGATCCCATTAAAGAATTATTTTTTAAAATCCATTCAGTTGCAAATTCAAGTGCAAAAGCATGATGATGAATATCTACTATTCAAGTAACAGAAATAATATTGATGATACAAATAAACTATTTTACAAGGTAGTGATTTTCCCAATTTTACAAAATATACATCATATATCGATTTAACATCCGATATACTATAGTCCATTTAGGTCCATTGTTATGCTCTGTGATCCACAGAGTGTTGCCTTTTGCATTCAGCTGGAATATGAATGACTGCATACCATCACACAGGTCAAAGCCACATGTTTTAGGTTATGTCACTTCCATAGCTACTGTTGTTTCTGCTATTCCGTTTAAACTCAATCTTTCTGGTTCATGGTTCTCTCTATAATAAGACAAAGAGTGGAATAAACATTAATACTCTACAGAATATGTACATTTTTATACAACTACAATTAAACATGACTTCCCAAAAGCCTTCCCCACTTTTATTATTTCCAGACAGGAATGAGGAAGTTTTTTTTCAGCTCAAAAATTCCATTAATTTCTAATTACTGATTATGTAACTAGTTAGAAAAGATAACAGATTTTTAATAGAAGCTAATGGTAATAACTTAGGAAATATGTAACATAGGATAATCCAAGTTTTTTTTTTTAATACATGGAGCATATGATATTCAAAGAGAACAATCATTAGCAGTGCAAATGTTAAGTTATTTTCCATTAGAATTTAATTTTATAGGCTTAATGGCATGTACTTATTAACTCATGCAAATCAATTTTTCTGATCTACTATGTTCTTACATTAGTGTCATTGAAAGAAATATAAAAAATTACTCTGAAATATATTATTACAGATTCAGCTAATTGTAGAATACTCTCAGTTTAATACATTGGAGTAATTTACTAAAATTTAAAATATAATGACACTTTTGACTTGAAATCTAAACTCTGGCATGGAATTAATAACAATTCTGGCTTTCTAGATTGCTAAAGCTATAAAGCTGTAATAAAAGAGTAACCGAAGCTTTTAAAATATATTCTGGTATATTTGTCAATTTGACATTTTTTTTTATTTGTTGGTGGTACTGGGGTTTGAACTCAGGGTCTACACCTTGAACCACCCTACTCCCCACCAGATGTTTTCTGTGATTGTTTTTTCCTTTGAGATAAGGTCTCATGAACTATTTGCCTGGGTTGGATTAGAACTTCAACCTTCCTGATTTCTGTCTCCTGAGTAGCTAGGATTACAGCCACAAGCCACCGGCACCCAGATTTTTTTTTTCTTTAAATTCTGATTGGCATGTGAGGATCTTACCCGGAACCTCAGTTACAGAACTTTATGCTAAGTAGATCTTCAAGATCTGTTGAAAAGCAAAAGACCTTTTTCCTCCCACAGGATAGACCAGCACAAAGGAGGTAATATACTTGAAACACACACCTTGCTATGCTGCTGATGGCACTGCTTGGAGTAACCTTTGGCACTCTGTCCATACTGGCAGCAACTGTGGCAAGTTTTAAGGCTGTTGGCGATGGTGCTGAAGTCCGTGTATTAATATGCACATTGACTGGAGAAACAACACTGACATTATTGAGGTGTACTGCATTTGTCAGGCAGGAATTGTTCATGGGAAGTGTTTGAGGGCTGCTTGTACACAATGCTGGGATTAAGTGGTTTGTAGTGGTGTGGCCAACTGTCCTTACAAGTTGTACAGCTGAAATCCCTGGGCTGGATGATAAAGCCATGTTGGTGGAGTATAATGTTTTAGAGGTTCCTGAAAGAGAAAAAAGAACATCAGTAAGGATAGACAATCAGGATCACAAATATGTATAAATACAATTGAAAATCTGCAGTCTTAGAAATAATTGAAAGAGCAGCATGTCTTTGAGAGATTAGGGGGTAAGAAGCAGACAGGGTTGCAGAGCAATACCGCATCTCAAGAGGTGGAGTCAGAGAAAATATGCCTATGAGTATGTAAGAGTGGAAAGGTAAACATGATTCATATTTTTTAACAGATTGCCCTGGATTACATTCACCTTTTAATCAACGCATGGGTAATGCAATGGTAACGGTTAGTAATCAGTTCAATGGATTTCCTAACGTGAGGCAACTGATAGTCTGTGGATAAAATCAGGAAGGGTGAGTGCTCCACAGGTCAGTATCCAATTGTATGCGAGAAAACAGGGGAATTCTAGAAAATGCCCAGTGATACCTCCACATCTTTCCCAAGAAATTCAAAGAGTTCTTATTGATTTCTTGTACATGGTTTCCCCTTGGATATGACAAATAGAACTGAACCCAACTCAGTGAGTTGCAACTTTTAGTATTACCATGTGAAACCCAGCTGTACCTGAAGGCTGGACAACACCGTTTATGTTGTTGTGGCCTGTACTCTGCTCCTTGGCTACCTCACTGCGACTTGGAACAGGTGCACTGACCACTGCAGATGCAGCAAAGTGGGCACTGGCTGAGTCGAGTGTTTTAGACATACAGTCAGAGGTGCTTGAGCCCTATAAAATGGACAAAGTGAAGATTCTCAGTTTTTTAGATGTGATTTCACAAACATATTAAGGAATATGGTGAGCCCAAGAGGCTATTATCTTCCTAATTTTGAACAGTCATAAGTTTTTAAATTAAGAGTTATAGAACTTTAGATTATTTTTGGTATATGAAGCAGGGAAACTACTAAAAACTAGCAGGCAATTATTTCTCAAGAAACCCAAACCTTTAATGCTGTATTAATTTTTCTAATAAGTATGAATGACGGCTTTAAAAAATGCTCGACAAGCTAGATACTATGGATGAAATGAAATTGCAGACATGACCAATAGTTGTTTCTCTCATAATGTAAAAACCTGTCTTGGCCTAACCTTGAAGTAGGCTAAAAATACTGAAGGCTGGTTACCCAAGAGACTCAGGATAAACCAAAGTAAGTGAAATGGCCATTCTTCCTTGATTCCTTATGAAACTGGTTAACTATTACAAAGGCAACAGCCCTAGTCTCTAAGCCGGCTCCAGATTCTCCTGCATATTACAGGAGTGTTGATAAAGCCCAGGGTCACTGAGATTTTCATGGCATTGAACCCAGGATTTTTAAGGTGAATGTACAGACCCTTTGAGAATGAGCCCAATGAGTATGGGCAGATCTTGCTTGGTCTGAGAGCTAACAGAATATAACTAAATTGAGTTCATCTAATTATTACTTTAGGAGTACTTTTAGAATTATGGAGCAACTAAACTTCAAACTTAAAATGCAAAGTTTATTCTTTTCAGGTGGCTCAGCTTTGAAACTGGTCTTAGTTTTATTTTGTTTTTAATGGTTTAAAATTACTGGAACTTATTTTTATACAATTCTGGAGGCCAATTCTATAGGGCTCATATGAAGGTGTTGGCAGAGTTGGTTCCTACAGCTATTAAGTATTTTTATTCTTTACTGTCCTTAAAGTTTATGAACAAATTCCCCTACTAGCAATTTTTTTCCTATAGGGAAACATGATTCACAGAGGCAAAGGGCTATGCTGCTTCAATTTATTGCACAATTCAAGAGAATTACCTCTCACCTCCACATAGTATGTAAGCATGGTTTAGAAAGGGGATAAAAAAGTTATATTCTTGAAAAAAAATTGGGGGGATAGGTAGGGGAAGATGGTTGTAAGAATATATATGAATTCTCAATAACCCTTCCAAAAAATGTAGCTATCTCTTTCCTAAATTAGAAAAACTATATATCTGCCTCTAGTACTTTTCTCAAATTATTTAGAGACTGGTTTATAAGCTATTCACTTAAAATTACGTTAAGTTAACTAAAAAGAAATCTGTATTATATTCTCAAAATCAAGAGTGGAAATATCAAAGTTATTTCCTATGACTTGACTATATATACAAAAGGAAGGAACTACAAGTCAGGTTTACCTGTGCTTTTGGATGTGCCTGCTGTGAGGAATGCTGAGACTGCTGCTTCTGCTGAAGCTGAGCGAGTTGCTGCCTTTGCATTTGCACTAACTGCTGCTGATGTGTCTGAAACTGCTCTTCTGTTATGCCCCCTGTTACTGGGAAAGGATCAATAAATATGTTTTAAAACAGTTTTAATATCACAGGTAGAATACATTGTATACTTATTTCACAATTAAGATGAAAAGCAAGTACAAATCATAATATACACCAGCAAAGGACCCAATAAAATGGAAGAATCTTTCATCAAGTTGGTATATACTTATATCCACTATCTCCTTAATGCTACATTCTAAAAAAAGGTTCCTATGAGTAGGTTTTAATTGTACAACACAGTTCTAATATGAGGATTTTACCATTTATTCAGATTTAGTGTCTTTGAGATCACTCTTAATTTTCTACAAAATAATAATAAAAAAACCCCTTCAATTCATGTATATAAATAATGACTAAGTTATAGCCTTAATAAAAAAGAACAACCACCTGTAAGATTAAATGACTTTTACTCTTGGTTTTCATATGGCATTGAAAGTGAAAATACTTTTTCTCTCTGATTAAAAATCAGAGCAGAGGACAAAGATATCCATTTAACATAACCATAAACTATAGTTTTAATCATGGCTAATAGATTCAATGCCTAAAATAAATTCTATATGGGCTAAATATGGAATAAAATCATTTCTAAATATGGGCTAGAAATAAGAAAAGTTCTCTAAAAACTAAAGATACAGTGCGCCCTCAGATATAATGAATTGTGCCCTAACATGATCACTTGTGTTGAAAGTTTGGGGTTTGAGGCTGGCAGAGTGACTCAAGTGGTACAGCGCCTAGCAACCATAAGTTCAAACCCCAGTATAGCCCCAAAAAAAAAAAAAAAAAAAAGACCAAAAACCAACCAAACAAAAAAACAACAACTAAATTAGGGGGTTTCAAATAAACACAATTTATCTTATTTTCTTGGCTAAATAAAAGATAAGCTAAAGGTTACAACAAAAATAATTTTTCTCAAAGAAATGTAAGTGAAATTTCATTTATTGACATTTAAGTAGACCAATGATAAACTGATCGAGGATATAAGCTATTTTCATAGAAATTAATGCATTTTTAGAATCACAAAATATAAAATCACACAAGAATACACGTATCTTAAGAGCAAATTCTGCTCTACTTTTCTCCCCCTGGCGCTGGGACTGAGTCCAGAGCTCGTGTACGCTAAGCAGAAGCTTTACACAGAACTACATATATCTCCAGCTCCACTCTACTTTTTTCTTCTCTCATTTTATTCAGTCAACAAGAATTTACTAACTAGTACGATGCATGGTGCTGCACTAATAATTATAGTGAATATAGGGAAAATAAATTAGGAAAAGGATCCTTGATATAAAATCCTTAAAGTATAGTTGGGAAGAAAAAATATACATAAAGAAACACCAAAAAGTATGAGTTGACTTTCACATGCAGGAGAGCAATCTAATAAGTATGACAATAGGAGTTTAAAGACCACACTCTCAGACTAGGTTGCTTCACTCTCCCAAAGTTTTCTGTTTAGTAGGATGCCAAATAAGAAATTTAAAAAATTGTGATAAGTAAATTAGACAGTAACAAGTTATGCTTAGTAAAAATCTATTTTCCAGAAAAAGGGAGTCAGGCTCCACATAGATAAAACTTTAGATGTATTTTCATTTTTCTTCATTATCACTTCCATTAAAATGCTATTGAACTTGAAGGGAAAACAGACAGCAATTTTATTTTTAAAAGATTTAAAAACCTGAGGCTATTATACTGCTCATTCTAAAATCTTAACATTACCTGCATTTTTGAAGTACACATTAGTTATTTTACTGAATTACCAACAAAATCAAATGTTTCTTTGCATATGTTAGATTCACTGCAAGTATTCTATTTCTTAATGAAAAAAATAATCCTAAAGTTACAATCTTCAAAAATCAAATGAAAATGTGAAGTATTCATGAATTTCCAGCTGTTTGAAAACCTTGGGGAAAGAGATGAAAAGAGCTTATTAGATAAAAAAGCAGGAAATAAACTCTTTAAATCCAAAGAAATCTGCAAGTCCTATATGCATAGTAAGAGTGTACTATTTCAGAAGAAATGGACACCTACCCTTAAATCCAGTAGTTTGTCCAGATATCAGCTTTTGTGCAGTGGTGAAAAGGTGAGAGTCACAGTGGTTAACATTAAGAAAGAAATCCAATGAAAAGAATATACTTTTAGTGACTATCTTAAAAGAGGGAGAAATGTGAGACTCTTTCCAAAAATCTCTCTCTCCTTATTTTGGTAGTACTGGGGGTTTGAATTCAGGCTTTGTGCTTGGAGGCAGGCACTTGACCATTTGAGCCATGTACCCAGCCCTCAAAATCTTACTAATTCAAAATTAAGTATAGGATGACTGACTTCACATTGACTTGAAATGCTACAAAATTCAAACTTTTTTAAGAAATACATTTTTGGTGGTACTAGGGTTTTAACTCAGGACTTTGTGTATTCAAGGCAGGTGCTTTATCACTTTAGCCACACCTCCAATCCCAAATCCAAACTTTTTGTTGTATAACACTCAGAGAGTTTTGGATTTTGGAGCACTTTGGGTTTTAGATCATTGGATTAGGGATGGTCAACCAGTAAAGTCTACACAAATATTCCAAAATTGAAAAAAACTCAAAAAATCTGAAACACTTTTTGGACCCATGCATTTCAGATAAGGGATACTCTAAATCAGTAAAAAGAACAAATTGTTAATTTTTAATTAAAAAATTCTTTTTGGCACTGGGTGAGGAGGTACACATCTACAATTCCAGTATTTGGGAAGCTGAGGCAGGAGGATCACAAGTTAAAGGCCAGACTGGGCTATATGTGGGACTTGATCTCAAAGAAATTTGAGTTGGTAGTCCATGGCTAACAAAGTATTTCCCACTAGATGTCTTCTACTTTTATGAACAGATGGTAATTTAATATATATATTTAAGAGGGGTGATGATAAAGCTACCTGAGTTTGTGGATGTCTGTATTTATTGTCCTATCTTGTTAAGACCATTAGTTTGTTCAGGAACACCATCCTTTTCTCCTCACAGAAACTCATAAAATCCCAACCTAATCTCAATCCAAATTATTCAAGGTAATGATGTTTCTCAACATTTTAAACTTAGGTAGACCTGGATACCAAAAATATCATTCTTGATCCCATTTCAGGTTGAGAAGCACTGATATTTATATACTTAATACCAATACACTTTAAGGATTACATTCAGTTTTTCCTCTTCTCTTATCCCAAGCTCAGTATGTTATATCCATTCTTGATATTCAGCTTTTTTTTTAAACTATAAGGTGTTCTGTATTCAAAACAAACTGATGTTCTTCATCCAGAATTTTCTAGAACACTGTATTATTATTTCAACTCTTCAGACAAATAGCTAATAGTAATCATGTCACAACGTTGGAACACAGAAAACACCTTTTTAACTTTTATCATTTTGGAGGTGAAGGGAAAGTGGTAAGAGATGGCACAGACACATATTAAACTGCCATTCTCAGGGTTGACTCACTGGTAGGCTATTATTTTTCCTTTCGTAAGTTACTAAAATACTTCTGTAACACATTTATTTCTTACAGTGAATCATTAAGAGGTGCACATTAAAATACATTAGGAAGAAGTCACAATTACAGTGAACAAATTCTGTTTAGGAGTGGGGTAGTGTTAGAACAAAGCAGAAGAGGAAATATATGAGCCGGGCACTGATGACTCACACCTGTAATCCTAGCTACTCAAGAGGCAGGGCTCAGGAGGACTGAGGTGGACAAATAGTTCACGAGACCCTATCTCATAAATACCCAACACAAAACAGAGCTTGTGGAGTGGCTCAAGTGGTAGAGTGCCTGCCTAGAAATCATGAGTTCAAATCTCAGTACTACCACCATAAAAAAAAAGTAGGAATATACAAAAGAAAACCCTTTTGTTTTTCTTGTTTAGGGTCAAGTTAAGTTCTCTTCATTAGTTTATCTTAAAAGGTGCTAGCTTAAAAGGAAATTCATTTCAAACCTCAAAGTCCTATTAGGTTAAAAGTAAGCATAAACCTGATGTTTTGTGAAGGTGGCAATATTTTACTATTCTAGATAGATGGCAAATATTCCTTTCCTGTAAGTAACAAGCTTTACAAATCTTCCTTGGTAATACATTGTAACAGATCAGTATATCTACTAAAGAATTTCCCCCTTAAAATATTTAAGTATTGTGTGTGTGTGTGTGTGTGTGTGTACGTACACAACTGACAACCTGTTTTTCATGAATACCCCAATCCTTTCTTTGAACTAACTTCTCTATATCTGACTCATTATCCATGTGGGACTTAATAATGTTTTTATTCTTCAAATTAATCCATGTACCTTTCCTTAGAACACTTATTACCATCTTTGGAATGTTGACTGTTTCCAAAGATCAGGCATCTATCATTTCATTCTTGACCTTTCAGGTTTGTGAAATCTTTACAAGTATTTGTTAGCTTTGTATTGCTGTTTCATTGATGAATTATAAACATAATAGAGATACATCCTGAATATTCTGGATGTTGTATGACTATTTCATAAGACTATGAACATGTGATTTTTTTTTTGTTTGTGCCTTTGCTTTTTTATAGTTTTAATGCAGTGTTTCTCAAATTTGGCTAAGATGAAGTATTCTTGGGAAGCCATGATATTTTCAAATACTGGCCTAGACAAAATTTTCACCAATGTGGTAGTGGAGATTATCTAAAAGTCAAAGTTAATATATTATCCAGCATCTGTTCATTTACCAGGTAGGTTTATGAGTTTTAACATGTTTTATCAAAGCACTGCTGACCATATGCAAACTTTGTGTTTTAAGGGACAGGTCTGGGAATAGACTGAGAATTCAGTGGATAGGAGGCTCCTACTTCAAATTTTCCAGATCATAATGAGGACTCAGGTGACAGTTCTCATAAACCACTGGAAAAGTTACTCCAAGGAAAAGCCAGGAGACTTGACACTATTTTCCCAGGACTACATACATCTATAAACAACTCTAATAGTTACAGGCAAACAAATTCCAAGGGAAAGGATGGGAAGGTAA